TATTTGTCCCTTCCTCTTCCTCACTTTTAGTAATCCCTAATTTGTTCTCCCATTATTTTAGGCTGTTTTGACTTTTTTCTTTACTTTGCTGACAATTGTGTTTGACTCCTTCCTTTTCTTTGCTGACAGTTGTGTTCACCATCTGTCACTAGATTGCTTCCTGTAAGGGAGCTACGGTTAGGGGATTAGGAAGAAAAATGTTCTGTGGGCAAATTATTCCAATATGTGTCTATTAAGGGATTACTAGTGCGAAATGTTATGGCAATTGTTTTGTTTCTAATAAAAAGCTTATGGGTTTTTCGCCCCTCTGAAAAGTGCAAGTACTTTCTGTAAAATTCCTGTCATTACCTAAAATTGCACTGGCATATTTTTTTCAGTCTGTCAGGATTCCAGTTTCATCTACCAGGTTCCCTAGCTGTGCTTGGATGTCTGTCTCTTCTTGACACTGCTATTTTACATTAATTTGCTGCGTCCATGATTTAACCGTTTGTGCAGCAGAGCAAATTTTATAGGGCAGTGTGTACCATATTGAAAAATACAAACCAAATCTCCTGAGTGGCAGACAAGATATTTAGAGGTGTACTTGGTCCCATATTGGATCAGCACCAACATGAGGAAAATTGAGAGCCAACATGAGGAAAATTGAAATCATACCATTTTTTGGTATGATGTGGCTGATAATGTGGCTAATAAATGTTGCATGCATGTGTGCAGCCTGCAGGCGGCCAGGTGCTCAGCCTGGTAGTGTAGAGAACAGCCAAATCTGGCTGGTAAGTCTGTTTTGGGGTGGAAGGGGCTGGGGGGGCAGATCGAGGCCGCATGGTGAGGGAGGAAGTGGGGCTGGGGGAGGGCAGGCACTGCCCAGCCAGGGCACGTGACTGAGCCACGACTTATCTGGGGAGTGGCAGGGAGCAGCACCTGCTGCTGTGCGCACCCCAGGAGGGCATGGGGGGGGGGGGTACCTGGATTTGCACGGGGCGACGACGGGCTGCTACTGTGTGCTGGGGCTGCACTGGGGTCTTCCTGGCAGGGGGCTAGGCCAGGCTGTGCTCAGGGTGGGTGGCAGTGCTGGGAGGAGGGTTTGGGGGGGGCTGCAGCCCCCACAAGATTTGCCATATCCCCCGCTCCCATCGCCACAGCAGCCTGCCCTGATCACAGCACCCTGCCAGAAAATGCCTGGCACAGCTCTGGCCCCAGCCCACAGTAGCAGCTCACCCTTGCCCCGTGCGCAGATCCGGAGTCACATGTCCCCCATGCCCTCCCAGGGCGCGTGCAGTGGCGGGACCTGTCCCCCGAAGTCCCTCTGGATGAGCTGCAGCTCCATCCCATGCCCCACCCTGGCCACAGCACCAGCACAGCACCCTGTCCCCCCACCCCCTACCCTTCCCTCACAACAGACTTACTAGCTGGGCGCTGCTCTCCACGCTGCAGGGCTGCATATTGGAATTGGATTGGTATTGGCTGATTATAGCTTGTTAAAAATCAACCATTGGTACTGGCCCAAAAAATCTCTGTCAGTGCACCCCTAAAGATTCGGTAGTTTTGGTCTGGAGATGTTGTCATCAGCAGTCTTTTGGAGTTGAGGATGATGTCCGGCAGGTTTGATGGGTCCTCAGGTGACTGAGGAGCCCCATTCTGGATACACACATTCTTTGGCAATGGGGGCATGTTGTTGTGTGGGGGAGTGGGATTCGCAGCCCTGAGTTGGTCTCCTTCTCCGTCCTCTGCCGCCACTGTTCCACCTCAGTATCGAGTCATTGGCCCTCAAAGCGGTGCACACCTTGGTGGACCAGGTGGTGCCACACCAAACAGTCAGCAGTTTGCTCCTCCCAGCTGTTGGTGTCAATGCCTCCATGCTTGAGGGCGACCTTGAGTGTGTCTTTGTACCGTTTCCTTTGGCCACCCTTTGAGCATTGGCCAACGGAGAGCTGGGAAAAGAGTATCTGGCTAGGGAGGCAGTTCTCAGACATCCAGACGCAGTGGCCCATCCATCAGAGTTGATTTCTCAAAAGCAAGGCTTTGATGCTGCTGGATGCAGCTTCATGGAGGACACTACTGGTTCGGTGGTCCTCCCATTTGACCCCCAGGATTTGATACTGTCGCGCGTGGTTCGGTGGAGCTGGTGGGTCTTTTCCCCTTGGGCGGGTGTTGTAAAGGAGGCGGCTACACACTCGTAATGGTTACAAAAGTTTTTGTTTTCGTTTTACTTGCACATCAGTGGAATAGACGCGTAGGCGCAGACCAAGCAGAAAACAGGTATCGGTTACGTTGCGAGATCGACAGCTGCGGAGACCCTCTCGAGACAGAGCTGAACGAGGTCTTATCAAGTGCACTGGGAGGGGTACGCCGGGGAAATTTCGTGATTGGTGGTGGAGAAGCACGTCAAGGCTGGCCAAGCCTGGGCAGGGAGGAAGAGTTCCTCCTTGATGTGCTGACAAGTGCTGCTTTTGCTGGGCGGAAGCTTACTCATGGGTTATATAGGACATTGCGGGTCCCAATTGGACAACCTTTCGCGCCCGCTTTTGGCGTGCGGGGGAAAATTAGAGGAGAAAAAAAGGGGGCTCCGAGGGCGGGGTCAACTAGCTTGGGTTTGTGCACAGTTTGCAGGTTTTGTGCTGACGGCACAGTTGTTGCACAACACAGATACAAGCACCGCTGGTGAAAGCTCTTGAGGGTCTTAATGTGGCATCGGTAGAGAGTCCAGGCTTCACTCCAGTAGAGGTGGGTAGTCAGCACAACAGCCTCATAAATCAGGACCTTTGTCGACTTCCAAAGGTCTCTGTTTTTGAAGACACATTGTCACAACTTTGAAGAAGGCAGCACTGGCGCAGTTGACCCGGTGCTGGACTTCATCAGTGGTAGCCTGTTGAGAGAGGTGGCTGCTGAGATGCAGAAAGTACTCCATCTATGCCAGAGCCTCCCTGTCAACATGGATGGTGCAAGGGATGTTCAGCTGGCCTAGGGAGGGTTGATGGAAAACCTTCATCTTGGCAACGTTCAAGGACAGGCCAAGTCTCTTTATACAAAGCGGTGAAGAGATCTAAGGTCGCTTGCACATCCTGTGAAGAGTGAGCCATCATGCAGAAATTGTCTGCATACTGAAGGTCACTTATGTCCTTGGTGGTGAATTGCGTTTTTGCCCGGAAGCGCCCAAGATTGAAAAACTTCCTGTTCAGTCGATACTGGATACTGACACCGGATGGTAGATCATCTCGGATAAGGTGGATAATGATGGTCAGGTAGATGGTGAACAGGGTGGAGGTGATCACATGATCTTGTTTGACCCAAGTCTGGATGCAGAAGGCCTCAGTTTCAGATCTTCCACTCAAGACAGTGGCAGTCGTATCATCATGCAGGAGCCGCAGCATGGTGACAAACTTCAGTGGGCACAAGGCATTGGAGGATGACCCACCCCAACCGTTCCCTCACAAGAGACTTACTAGTTGGATGTTGTTTTCCATGCTGCAGGGCTGCGTATTGGAATTGGATTGATGTTGGCTGATATGGCTCGTTAAAAATCAGCCATCAGTATTAGCTCAAAAAATCTCTATCGGTGCACCCCTAAAGATACTGTATACAGTAGTTTTGGTATGGAGATGTATCGGTCTGCAAGAAAAGCAAACTTTTGTGTTCAATGGAAGGCTTCCTCTCATCTATTTTCCTGGGTTTTCTCTCCCACTTATCAATAGAATTCTGCTACCTAAAGGTGTCATAATAGAATGAAACAGGAATTTTTCGTTATAAAATTGGTGTCCTTTCTGTAGTTTTACTGTTAGAATACTAAAACTGACTTTAGAGAAAACATCCCAAGTGTTATCAGGGCGAGTAATCTTACTTTTTATCACAGCAAATAAAAAGGCATTAAATTATCTACTAGCACATTTTTCTATAATATGTCCTTTGTAGAGCCAAAAACTACTGAGCTTATATTACGTTAGTCCAGTTGTTCTCAACTTTTTTAGATTCAGGGCACCCTCCATAACTTTCCTGAATTTGATGGACCCCAGTTGAAAACCACTGTTGCATCGCCTCAACTTACCTTAGTGGTTCTCAACTGGGATGATGCTGCCAATGCCAGGTGAAACTGCTCTGTGTGCTTCATGTGAAGCCAGATTGGGAAGGGGTACAGGAGCAATCGGTGTTATGGTTATCTGATAAGCCTAAAGCAGGCAGGAGCGGCTGCACTAGCCACACTCCTCCCAAAAACAGGTGCACAGGGCAGTTCCATTTAGCAGCAGTGGTGTGGCAGCCTGGAGAAACAGCTGCTGCCAGGTGGAAGAGCCCTGTGTCCCTCTGTTTCTGGGAGGAGCGTACAGAGCTGGAATGGGAAGGGTTGTGGCAGAAGCCTCTCCTTCTGCATGTGTTAAGTTTATTAGATAACCCTAATGAGGGCAGGAGCTTGGGGCTGTTCCCACAGCCCTTCCGAATCTGATTTCATACAAGGCTTGTAGAGCAGTTTCACCTGACAGCAGCAGTGCCCACGCTGTGACACTCCTGAAAGGGTCTTGTGGCATCCCAGTTGAGAACCACTGCCTTAGTCTGCAGTGAGGGCTACATGTTCACAAACCCAAAGAATGCTGCTGTTTTTATGGAACAGACAACAGGGTAAAACTTATTGTGAAAAAGATTTGTGGGTGTTAATGTTGTTTCTTTAATATTAGACCTTTAGCACATAATTATCTAGCCTCACTTTTCAAAGATAGATTCAAAATAGATATTTAAAATGCATTTCAAATGCTTGTGGAAAAACAGTATAGCCTTTTCTATGCATCAGAAATACCCATTTTGGTGTTCAGGCAGAAAGTTTCAAATATTTTGCCCATAGGTGAAATTAAGTGATTTAAAATAGGACTTCAGTGCTCCACAAGCCTTGTTTGAATGAGTACATTTCACTGTTAGAATTTTATAGAAAGGATAACAGTTCTTTTTCCTTGGTGAAAATTTAATTAGAAGGAAACATTTTCCTGACTTACATTTTAAGTATTTATTTTGTTTTAAAGATGGGAACAGAGAAAAGATCCTCATGGTAGAACTTATTATGTTGATCACAACACACGAACTACAACTTGGGAAAGACCACAGCCTTTACCTCCAGGGTAATGTAGAATTTCTATGCTTCTTTCAATATGTGCATTTTAAATTGGTACTAAAAATACTTTTATCATGTTGTTTGTGGTTACAGGATAAAGCTATATAAGTGTAAGGTGAGAAGGCTATATTACTGTATTACCAGGGAAATTGTGGGGGCAAGTGGCAGAGTTCAGGCTGCTTCACTCCCCTGCTGCTTGTCTTCCACCCCTTCCCCCCACCATCTGCCTTCCTCCTGCTGCTTTCTCAGCTGCTATGGTGGTAGGGGATGAATTTAAGATGACACCCAATAATTGGATTCTATACATGGAAAATTATAATACATTGGTATTATTGTTGAATTAGTAGTTTTTAAAACCAATACCACCCATTTTATACAGTATAAAACTTCATCCTAAACCAGTTGATCAGATTAATCTTTTATGTGAATGTTGGTGTTTAAATTTATTGCCCATGCCAGGGGTTGTCAACTGGGAGTACACATACCCCTGGGGGTACTTGGAAAAGTGGTAAGGGGTACGGCTGGGCGGGCAGGGACAGAGCACCACCACCCACCACCCTGTGCCACTGCCTCCCAGGAGCAGGGTTGGGGGAAGTAGGGGACAGTGGCTCCGCTCTGTGGGCCGCATAGGCACTGCCCGGCTAGCTGGACATGGTGGGGTGGGGGGAGAAGCTTTCATATGGTGGTGCCGCAACCCCCCCTCCACTCCACATCTGGCTGCCACCACCAGAAGGGGTACACGCCTTTAAAAAGGTTAACAACCTTGGCTTACATCAATAATTTTGACCAATTTACCTGCTGCTTTAATTTGCCTTTTATTTAATGCTACATTTAAAAGATGTTAATTTTATCACACTTTAAGGTGACACCAACATGTGAAGTGCACATCAGAAATATAAATTTGTATCTCATTTCTATGTTTGAACCAAAATATGAATTTAGTTTAGAGTGCCGCAAAATATTTTTTTTCAATTAAAATATAAAACTATGTGAATACTAACATTAGTATTATTTTGGTAGCTGGGAAAGAAGGGTTGATGATCGTGGAAGAGTTTACTATGTGGACCATAACACAAGAACAACAACATGGCAGAGACCAACAATGGAATCAGTCAGGAACTTCGAGCAGTGGCAGTCTCAGCGTAACCAACTGCAGGGAGCTATGCAACAATTTAACCAACGATACCTCTATTCGGTAATTTTTAGCAAACTGAAATATTAGGAAAAGAGACTTCTTTTTTAACTTTTACTTTTCTCTAGCAGTTTAACTATGTTTAGTGAGATATTGGAGATCTTTAAAGATTATTCACATTGCTCATGATGACTGTGAGTTCTAGTTTAGGATCTTCACCCTTCTTAAACCACTATCTCTATAGGATTCTTATACCTGGGTGTCAGTTCTCTTGGTCAAAAAATGTTTGTTCCATATACATTTAATAATTGGAGGTACCTAATAGCTGTAACAAGTACAAGTATAAGCCACTTCTTCACCTTTGAGGGGACTTCAGTTCAATGAGCCAGTCTTTTTTTTAGTCATTATCTTACTTTGGAATTTTTTTAGTAATGCTCAGCTTATATACATCAGTATTTTTGCTTTCTTTTTTTTGGAAAAAAAGTCAGTGACTTGGAACCATTCATCAACACTTCTATGCTTCTGTTTTTTACTTTAATACCTGTTTTGAAGTCTCCGTCTTTGTCCTGCTCTGAAGCTTTCTTGCACAATTTCTGTGTTTCGTCTCAGGTTATCATACATATCTGCAGCTTTACAGGAAGAAGAAAACTGCTCAGTTGCTTCAAGAAATGTTGTTTTGAAGTAGGAATAGAATACCATTCACGGTATTATCTGCCTGAACATTCTGAGCAAGTGGGGCAGATCTGACTGATTATTGTCCTACATATACAAATACTGTGGGGATTGCATCCATCACCTGTGGGAGTTTTCCATTAAAGGGCCTCAAATTTAGTATGCTGGCAGATATGGAGTTTCATAGATTCGTAGATGTAGGGTCGGAAAGGACCTGAGCAGATCATCAAGTCCGACCCCCTGCCATGGGCAGAAATGAATACTAGGCTCATGTGACCCACTAAGTTAAGCTCATATGACCCTAGTTAGGTAATAATCAAGCCTTCAAGTGCATCAGAAGAGAAATTACTGAACTATATGTTTGAGCCAGTTTCAGCTGCTGACTATTAGGATTATATGTTGGTGCTTCCTATATTCACATAGCCTTTGTTTTGTTTTAAAACTCAGCAGACCGTATTTATTATCAGAGCATGTCCTATGAAGTTTTTTACAATGCAAAAGATTCTGCTACATACTTAAAGTTAGCAGGGTTCACCCCCAGTTTATATAATTAAATGCCATGAAGAACTGTAAGCAGTAGACATAAAATGATGCATTACTGATGAATTTCTTGATTCCTGCTGACTCTGCATCATTTTGTTTTCCCATTCACTTTAGCCTGAAGACTTGGGGACAGATGAGTGACTCTTAAGTCACTGCTGCTTATTTGAAGCATTTTTAAACCATTTACCATTTTAAAAAAACATTTAACATTTTTAAAATTTTTTATTCCTACTCTGTCAAAATGTGTTGGAAATTAGAATGCAGTGATTCTTGCTTTGCTGATGGATAAAGCATTGGCCCTGATGCTAGTATCCTCAGTACCTTGTGCCAAGAATTTAGTACAGATAAGGCTGATATCTTTGGAGGCATTGTCTCTATGCTGTAGATATCACAATCAGCTCATCGTGATCAGCAGTGTTGTGTGCAGGGTGGAGGTTGAGAGAAAGGATAACTTACTTGTGTTTTGAGGAATTGGAGGAGCATAGTGATGCCAAATACTTCTTCATTGCAGATGAACAGGAAGATGTTACTTCTTAGTGCAAAGTTTTTACTTTCCCCCTAGTTTATTAAAGTAACTACCTAGCTTGCTATTTAAAATGGTATATTTTAAATTGGAGTTAGTTCAGGAATCTAAAGAGTTTACAGATGACAGCTATCCTGAGCTGAGAGTGCTTATCCATCTACGTTCCTATGCTTTTGGGCTTCCTACATGGGATCAGTTTATAAAAATATAGCAGGACACATGGGCTGCTTGCAGATGATAAAAAAGAACCCAAAACAGTGCTTTAGTTTTAAACTCCATGTGTTCCTGTGCCACACCTAGCACATGCCCAGAAGAGGCAGCTTGTTAGTTGTACCCAGCTTGCCTGACGTCTGTATAGATTACACGCTTTAGCAGGACTTTTGGCACTTTTATCTAATAGCTGATTGAATAAGCTATTAGATTAGCAGGGCTTTTTGGTGCTTTAAAGGTGAAGCGGAACCAGATTGAAGTAACGTGCTGCTGCTTTTGGTAAAGTGCTTTTTTTTAAAATAACATTTGCAGACAGACTTTGTCAAATTTTGGGCTTCAGGGGAGGAGGAGGGGATGGGTGAGGTAGAGAGTGAGTTGGCAGGCACAGAAACAGGCACGGACATGGAAGGGCAGGTGGCTGGAGAGATCATGGTGGAGGACAGACATGGGGGGACAAGTGGCAAAGGATCAACAGCAGTGGTGGGGACTAATTTAAGATGAGCTTCCACTAATTAGATTCTATACAGGGAAAAGTATAACAAATGTATCACTTCCTTGTATAAAATATAATTATTCTTGAATTCAGAATGGTCTTGGATTCAGATAAACACAGTGTATTAACTAGACACAGAGACAGAAGTGGCTCAGTTCTTTTATGGGAGGCGTGCTCATTTGTCTGTCTCATAATTACTATTTCAACAAGTTTACTACAAACTGAAGTAAAGTTGACTTGTAATCTTCAGGATCACAGGTAGTATACATGTTGATCACATGTTGCCTTAATGGCTCCCTTTTTCCCTTTATTGTTTAAAGGAACAATTCTCTTCCATCATCTTGCTGTTTATGTATTTAAATAATTTCATATTCATTTTTTTTCTGTTTGGCTTACTGTTCTTCAAAATGTCAGTTACAAGAGGCAAGGATTTCTTGAGTTGGACCAACCCTGTCTCAGGTATGCAGTTGGTCGTTAGAAAATAACCAGGGGAATACAATAAATTTATTCTCATTTTTTATTTAACTTAAAATTCTTAAAATTACCGGATATTGTCCTTGAACACAGAGTAATCAAGCTATGCAAGGTAATAACCCTGCAAAAAAGAATAAGAAGAACTGGGTAGGCAGGTGGGCAAAATACAAGAAGTTATTTGATTGAAATAGGTTACTGCAGAAACAAAAATTCAGCCCAAGTGAATCCAGCAAACAGACTGTAGTATAGAGGTTGAACTGGAAAATGGAAATCTAATTGATTAAGAGAGAGTCAGAGTGATCTTATAGTTGTGAATGGTTCAGGAATATGAGAGAGGCCAGGATTTTTTAAGGTGATTTTATTGGACCAACTGCATAGTTGGGATGGGGTTGGTTCATGCTGCCACAACTACTGCCACTGCCATGGCTGCTGCCGCTTATGCTTAGTCAGGGTTTGAATTACACTTCAGCTCCTTGAGGAGGTCTGCAAAAAAAAAAATTGGCTGGGGTTGGAGCTGTGTGCATAGGTCCCCGCTAGTACCGCGGGACGGGCCAGTGGTGGTGTTAGCCAGAAGGAGCCACTGCTGCCTCGGCTACTTAGAAAGGCACAAGGTAGGCCAGGGGCTGTGCGTGGTGGCGCATGGGGGTGGGGGAGGTGGGGAAGGGGTGCTGACAGGCCTGTGGGAGGAGTTGCGGGGGGAGCGTTCTCACTTAGTGGGGGGGCTCAGCCCCAAGCTCCTCCATAATTTGAACCCTATATTTAGTGAGGCTCTGGCTCTGGCCCTGCTCTAGCTGGGGGCACAGAACACACTGGCTCTGGCCCCCTACCTAGCCAGGCAACCAGCACTTGTGGTAACAACAGTTCCTGCCTAGGCTCTGGATTCTGGATTGCATCTCCAGAAGTTGTTCTCTGAATATTTCAAGGGATTTACACTTGCTGCTAAACAGGTTAAGAAAGGATCTCGGGTACCCCGGGCTCAGCAGCTAAGGGCATGTTCATAATGTGATGCCATGTAGATAGCTCTGAAAAAACAGTTGGATACCAGAAGCAGAATAGCTGTGTAATGTTGTTGATGAGGGGTCAGTTAGTCTAGGAAGGCCATCACTATAATATAGAATTGTAGACATGTGGGGCTGGAAAGGACCATAGGGTGTGATTGAGTCCAATCCCCTGCTTAAGGCAGGAAAATCCTTGACTAAACCATCCCAGTCAAGTGTTGGTCTAACCTTAACCTGGTTAGACTAACATTTGACTGGGATGGTATCCCTGGAGAGAGAGGGGATAAACGAAAAAATTAAGGTAAGAAAAAACCACTTACCTGCAGCAGGAGCCACGGCACAGCGGGAACAAGAAGAGAAGCCTGCACAGCTCGTTAGCCTCGCCTTTATTCAGCTGAGGCCAGCTGGTGACGTTGCCAGCCAGCGAAAATAAAAAAGGTGGACGACAGAAGGAGCAGAGAGGGGAAAACGGACCAGAGGAACGTGTGGCCTCAGGACCCACTCCGGGAACCCCTCAGGAGGGGAAGTGTGTCAGATGAGGAGTCAGAAGAGACTCCTGGTCCCAAGCTCAGCAGCAGCAGTGGGGGACAGGCCACCAGTGCGGGAAGCGGGCCAGAAGCAGCCCCTGCAACCTGCAACAACAGCAGCAGCAGGAGCAGCAGAGAAAGGCTTGCAGGGACCCACAGTACAGCAGGTGGGAGTATTAGGAACGGTTGGAAGGAGGAGGAGGTGGTCCCATCGGAAAAGTCCCAGCAAGAGGCCTGGGAGGGCTCCGGACAAGCAGGGCACCTACACCAAATATAAAAGGGTGACCAACCCTGTGTAGAGGAACTATGGAACACTTGGAGGGCGACGCTCCAGGAGGGAGAGAAGTGGGCTGGCCCAAGGCTCGTGAAAGGAGCTAAGAATGTGAAGCGGACAACCCAAACAGGAGGATACTAGTATTATTCAAGTGTGTGGGGGGGGTATCCCCTGGCTATACTATAGGGGAACTAGGCTCCCGAGACCCCTGCTGTGAGGAAGCAGGGAAGGGGGGACTATCCTAATTCCCAGCGAAGCGGCAGAGCAAGTGTCGTGTGTTTTCTTTTGTATTCTTTCTTTTGTTTCCCCAGGTGAAGGGGTTGAGAGAGAACTAGGGAGCATAGCCCATAGGGCGTCAGGTGGTGATTTGAGCCCGAGGACAGGAGGTTGCTCTGGACAAGGGTAGGTTCCCTAATCAGGACCTCTGATCATAGAAGACCCATGAAGGAGTAAGCAGAGCAGGTTCCAGGACTAGTACGCTGATAAGAAGAAACCCAAGAGGCACCATAGCCGTAGGAGCAAGGGGATGTGGCCGAGAACACGGAGGGATCCATCGAGGTGGCGTGAGGTTGGGGTGTAGGGATGGTGGAGCCCCGCGAGTGACCGACTGGCAAACCTCAGGTTGCAGAGGGACCCCGGATAGTCAACCCCTCCACTGGGAACATTTAAAGTCCTGGCAGGCGAGATAGGGGAAGACGACTCCTGAAGTAAACAGCTACTCGGCCAATCACGGGAGCCGGTAAGACATATGTCATCCATCACTCGGACCAAGGCTGTACGTGACAGGGTGTTAGAAACTTGGCAGTCACAGATGGTTTAGTCAAGCATGATCTTTCCTTAAGCAGGGGGTTGTACTCGATCACATCCTGTGGTCCCTTCTAGCCCCACTTTTCAATGATTAATGAAGATGTAAACAATACTGGCTCCAGAACAGACCCTTGGGGAACCTCATTTGATACTTTCTTCCAGCTCCACAGGAGTATACCTTTATTCAATACTCCAGATAACTTGTTTGGAGCTAGGGCAGGTATTTTCCACAGCACTGTATCATTAAGTATAGACATTCTGATTATCTGAAAATACTACACTGATTTATAGTCAAATGTGTTGGTCACAGAGGTGGTTAGCCATGTGAATTTGAAATGAGGCAGAAAGTTGTGCAGGATGGCACTTTAGAGACTAACTGGCAACAGCCTGCTTCACCAGATGCTATATGGCTGAAAGTTTGTCCAACAGCTTTTCCAGCTATACAGTTGGTCCAATAAAAGATATCACAAAAATCTTTGCCTGTCAATCATAAATCCTAGATTCTTCATATATTTGGTTCATCGTGGAGATGATTCATAAGATCAACATCTCAAATCACATGTTATCTTGTTTTGGCATATTTCATTTCTGTTACTGAGTTTTCTTTTGCTCTCATCATTGCATTGAAGTCTTTAATGGGATGCATAATTTCAAAGGGCAGAGCAGGTTTGATTTCATTTGCTTCTGGGATGACACCGTGTTTATCTTTGTCAAACTCCAGTAACCAGTAAAATGGTGATTCAGTTTTTAAAAATGTTTCAGTTTGTCTTAAATTTAATCTTTTAACCAAAAATGAAAAATGTTATGTTTTAAAGCTTTTTCTTTTGTGAAACTTTGGTGGCAAATATTTGTTTGGTGAAAATTATATTAGTAATGTTTCTCAAAATTTGAGGTTAGCACAGTCTTAGGTTTAAAAAAAAGGGGGGGCTTTTTCTGAACTTATGGAAGACACCCTGCATTTTTTTAATTGATTTTGTTTAGGAGTGAATCAGTTAGTTTAGTTCTAGGTGTGGTTTTTCGCCAGGATTAAATTTACTCAAAGTTAATAAATGGTATCTCAAAATTCTTTCAGATGGGACTTAACAATAGTATAACGTCTCATAGCATCTTGATCTTAAGGATATTTATTACATCAAAGAGCAGTTTAATAGTCAAATTCTGGTCAATGCATAATCTTCAATATGGTATCATGCTTAAAAGGATTAGGGTGAGGCTAACATCATAAAGAAAGTGCTGTGTGGGTGAGAGAAACAGGCAGTGCTCCCTTGCAGCGTGGAGAATATCTAAATATGCGGTTTGTGGTGCCACAGACGTGTTTGTGACGCCACATATCACGCAGCTGTGCCCATCTAGATGCGGCCTCGAGGTTTATCTTGTGAATCATGTTTGCACGCCTAACAGTGCTAACATTCTGTGGCATCCTGTGGCACCCTTGAAAAGATCTCAGGATACCCCAGTGTGCCCTGGCACCCTGGTTGAGACTCAGTGGCTTAAGTCAGAGCACAGAAACTAAATTGTTTGGTTGCAAATCGACTACCTCTATGTGTATCCATCTCAGAAAAAATAGGTAGTGACTGTCTGGAAGGTTGGCATGTCTAAACAATCAGAGATTACAATTCAGTGCATGCAGAAATAGCATGCACAAAAAGAATCCAGTGGCAGAATCTAGCAGATGCAGAAAAAACATTTTCTTTAATCTAAGTGTCTCCTGTTTTGTTATAACTAGGCTTCAATGCTGACAGCAGAAAATGATCCACTTGGGCCTCTACCACCAGGCTGGGGTAAGATAAAATGTACTTTAATTTGGATATATGACTGTGGAGAAAACTTGTCATACAGTCATGTAATAATTTTCTTTTTCTTTTCAGAAAGAAGAGTGGATTCAAATGATAGGGTGTATTTTGTGAATCACAACACAAAGACCACACAATGGGAAGACCCTCGAACTCAAGGGTAGGTGTATATATAATGTCTTCTTAACACATGTAGATTAGATACTAGTGTTTAAACTGTTGTGTTGAGTTTCTTAGTGTAAAATAATGGACTGTTTGTAATTTGCTCCTCAGCTTACAAAATGAGGACCCTCTTCCTGAAGGCTGGGAAATCAGATATACTAGAGAAGGTGTCAGATACTTTGTTGATCATAATACAAGAACTACCACCTTCAATGATCCTCGTACTGGGAAATCCTCTGTGTAAGTGATCAGACAATAGAGGTTTTTAAAAGATTGAGATTAATGATCTAAAAAGTCATGTTGTTCTCATTAGTGATGTCAGTACTTTATTTGGGCTGGAAGCATCAAGTCCAGAGCAAGCTTTGCTGCCTTGTTTCTTTTATTTTGGAGATGTATTTATCAACATTTCTTTATTCATTATAACAATATGTGAAGTTACTCTGTAAGATGCTCAGATATCATGATTATGAATGCAGTACAAGTAGAGGAAGTATTGTATATTTAATAATTGTATCTATTGAAATAGTATTTAGAGAAAATAAAAGAATGAATGCTTTAATATAATATTTTTAGCTATAATATTCCTAAATTACTATATTAATAGTTAAAACCAGCCAGTTCTTCATACCGAGTATTGCAGAGCAATAGACAATTAAGTTCCTCTTCTGCAATTCAGTTCTGTATTACACATGTTGATATTCCCTCAGCAGCATCTTATGTGCAGTTTGAAGTGTTCTGATATTTTTTCATTCATTCAAGAAATTAGCAGGTTATAATGATTAGGTTTAACTCTCCTTTCTTTTAAAGCTTGATTAAATAATTCTGAACCAGCACCAGGGACTTGGAACATAACCACTCATGGAAAGAGCTGGTATATTGCTTGTTATTCTAAATGGTCATGTTTTGTTGAAATCCAAAAATTATTAGTTTAGTAGTGAAAGTACAGATACATTATTCTTTATTTGTTTCATTTGTTTAAATTATTTAACTATATTGTTTTACAGAAATAAAGGCCCTCAGATTGCGTATGAACGTAGCTTTAGGTGGAAACTTGCTCATTTCCGTTACTTGTGTCAGGTACTGTACTAGTAAAAAAATCTATTTTTATGCATAATTAAAATAATGCTCACTTAACATACGTCAGTATTAGTAACATATTATTTCTTTCACTTAGTCAAATGCACTCCCAAGCCATGTGAAGATCAATGTATCCAGACAGACATTATTTGAGGATTCCTTCCAGCAGGTGAGGCTATGGTATTTCCTGTATTAAATGTGTTTAGTAAAACAAAACATAATTTTACTTGTGTTGGTTAGGCATATATAGTTTTGTAAGCATTAAGAGGAAGGACCTGTATTTTGCCTAGTTTCTCAGATATTAAATATGCATAATTAAATCTTACATTTCTTTAGCTGTTGAATTCTAAAGTCCACAGAAAAGTATGATGCCTTCTAGTATCAAAAAAATTAAAACAACCTGCCACTTGTCTTCCCTGCCCTTCTAAATTGCTTCTTCAATCCCACCAAAATCCTTGCAATGCATTAGAACCAAGATAAATATTTTTGTAGAAAAGTATGTAACTGTTAGAGCCTAAATTAGTTTACCGTAAAATATGAGTCACTTCATAAATTTAAATACTTCAGTATTTAAAATTTAAATATTTCAATATTTTTGAATAATGTATTGACTACAGAAATGTGCAAAAGAGTGTATAATTTAACATAGGCCCTGGAAGACATTATTTAAGCACAAGATGGGATCTGAGGAATCTTATGCTGAATCCCAAAAACTGCATCTTGCCATGACAGATTCAGTATATGGCATGACAGGGCACACAAGTTCTGCAAACTAGTATAAAATTTCTCAGATCCCATTGTGCACCTGGATCTTTCAAGGCACACTGTGTAGCCCAGTATCATCTGCATATTCCATCTTTGACTAGTTTTTCCATTTTTACCACGTGATAAATTGGTTCAGCATGTGTTGTGGTACAATATATCACACAATTAATGTGTTAATCGTGTGATGTACGTCTGCCAGGGGCCAAAGATACCAAAAGACTATTTGAATCTTTGCTGTTTGTTTCACAAATGTCCCTGATCCTAACTTTTTTCTAGGTGCTTCCATAAAACAAACATAAGTTTATTGGGTTGAAAGTATGCTTATTTATTAACTGTTAAAATTTTGTTTCTGCTTTAAAATTTGATAGATCATGGCTTTAAAACCTTATGACTTAAGGAGGAGATTGTATGTTATATTCAGAGGAGAAGAAGGATTGGATTATGGTGGTTTGGCAAGGTAAAGAAAAATACTTAAACATCTTTAAAACATTCATAGGTTTTTTTAATCACAAAATTGCACTCTTAAAATCTGGTTGTGAGAGTAACAGAAGGACTACTTACTTTGTACATTGCCTTATAATCTGGGTAATCTTTTTGTACTGCTTTCAGTATTTTATAGACAGAGCTGGCTGCAGTGCCTGCAACTATGGTTGCTTTAACTCCTTTGTATTATAAAAAAAACAGTTTTTAGTTGTTTATAACCTTTGATAAACTCCAGCCATTAACTGCCATTGACTGAATTTTTGACCAGTTCTTAGAAAAAAGATGTTCACTGTTTCAAAGAATGAGAATTGGGAAAATACATAGTTGTTCTGTGTAAAACATTCTTACAGATATTTGATTGAAATGGCTTAGTGCCTCCAAGCTTTGCAGCAACTATTTAAATTCGATTGATGGGGGCATGTCAAATTGAGATCAGAGAGGTTCCTTTTATTACTCCGTGAAAAACCATCCTAATATATCTGGGTTTTAAGCCTCTAAAAATTGCTGTTTGCGCATGCTCAGTTGACGTTTGTTTTAGGTTAGTAGCAGAATTGTCCAAATAGCAGCCCTGGGGGTACTTGACTGTCCAGAAGTTAGGGACAGAACTGGGAAACTGATAAAAGTGGATAGGATGGGAACAGAAAGGGGTAGGATGGTGGAGCGGATGAGAGATTCTGCGGGGTGGGCAGTATGTGTAGTGTGGAGGCAGACAAGTGTGTAACATGTAGAACACTCCCTTTCAGAGCCTGGAATTGGAACTAAGGTGTCTTGAGCATACACTTCTGATTTAAATGTTTCTGTGCTGTGTGGCTTAACGAGTTAATGACACCAATAACACAGTTTTGTCATGGGGTGTTTTAAGCTACATTGATACTTGTAAATGTCCAGTGCAGTGCATCTCAGCCATTGGTCCCTGGAGGAGAGACAGGTGTGGAGGTGAGGGAAAGAAGACTGTGGAACACTTCGAGATATTGAAGGACTGCCAGAGGATATAGATATTTCAGAAAGTGCTTCAAAGATAATCCTACTTTTCAAGGATCATTTTTGAAGTGCTTTGGCCATTTTTGGAGTACTTCTTTGGCTCTGAATGCCTGCACCCTTGCTGTTTCAAGCACTTTAAAGGTAACTTGGAGCTTTTCAAGTGCCACACCTGTCTGTAGCCTAAGTTCAAATTAAAGATAGTATCATAGTGCAAAGGTACAAGCAGGCTTCACCAAGACTGTAATAAGCAGGCTTAATTTTGATATTTCCAAACTTTGGAGAGCTTGACTTTATAATTGTAATTTTTAATTGCATTTATGTTTGTTTAATAAATACACGTTGCTATTGAACATACTATATAATGTCTAATATTTAGATTTATTAATGTTTAGACCATCTGGCTAGCTATTTGCAGGAAGCTGTGAAAGATCTGTATTTGTGATGGGGTTCTTGTATGTGGGTTGTTTTTTTGTTTCTTTTTTTTTTTTTAGAGAATGGTTTTTCTTGCTTTCCCATGAAGTACTAAACCCTATGTACTGTCTATTTGAATATGCTGGCAAGAGCAACTACTGTCTGCAGATAAACCCAGCATCAACAATCAATCCAGATCATCTGTCATATTTCTGTTTCATTGGGCGCTTTATTGCCATGGTAAGTTAGATTCTTAAGTTTCTTTTTTTGTTTTCTTTGATTAATTATAAACATATTCCTAAAACAATAACATGTATTTTTCTGTTCAAGATTTGTTTTTCATCACTTGCTAAATAAAGAATTTAATTATGCAGGGCTATCAACTCAGGACCATTAATTAGCAATAAAAGTTTTATGTTTGAAAGGCTCTTAGCAATGAGATTAAGTGAAGAGATAGTACAGTAGTAACATGAAAGTCTAAATTTGTTGAAGGTATTTGATGCAGAAAGTTAATTTTACCTAATTTGAATATCCAAATAGGTATTCTTTTGAAAATGGGTCTAGAATTTTCTTGAAAAGATTCCTCCATGTAGCTAAGTTAAGCAAACATACATTTCTTTGAATTGTTTTACAATACAGAATTCTTTTAAAATACTGCTTGAAAATACTGAAAAACATCTTGAACCAGATGCCAGAGTTCAGATTCAGTGGAAAATGGGAGTTAGTAGGGATCTGATCATAGCTCACTGATTTTGTAACTGAGCTTCTATTTAGGTAAAGCAGTAGGAAATGCTTTTAAGTTACACTGCCAGCCTACAGACTGGAGAATCTGCCACTTCACCCCACCCTTCACAGCTTGTTTCTACTTGAAAATAAATCAAGAGGCCAAATGCAAAAGAAGTATTTAACTACCAAATATCTCAGACTCAACATTATTCTTTTCAAAGCCACCTCTTAAAAATAAATTATTCTGTTTTCATTGTTGGTGCTTATTTTCAGTATATTATGGTCAGGCTCACCCTTTAGTTATTTTGCTACATAGCACTGACTTTCAGGGGAGTTGCATTGGTCTAAAACAACAGTATGGCTTCCAGTATGTTGCTGATGTTGAAGTGATGTTGTTGTGATGGTCCAGGAAATACTTGCTTCTCACATTATTTTTGTGACGGGCATCTTATTGGACCAGCTGCATGATTGGTGTAGACATAGGCGGGATTTCAGATATCACAGTACTTTTCCTCAGATCTCTGGGAGAGAAGTAGACACAGCGGAGCTAAGAGGCAGATGGAACCAATGTTTGTGTAAAAATCTGTAGGTAAATAAAAACAGGATATGAGCAGGGTGATCATACATCCCGGTTTGGCCAGGACAGTCCCAGATTTTGTAGGCCCATCCTAGCCAGTTAGTCAAAAGTCCTGGGCTGGAGTCTGGTGGGGAGGTAGAGCAGCATGGTGCACCAGACAGGCAGGACCACTGCTGCTGTGACTCTGCAGGAGCAAGGAATATGGACTTCAGTTATGGCATCTTAGGGTGACCATGCATCCTCCTGCTTTGCACCCATACTGCAGCAGCAGTGCCTGCCTGCCCACCTGCCTGATGCACCATGCCATTCTGCCTTCCTGCTGGACTCTGGCCTGGGACTTTTGACCAACTAGGCAGGACTGGCCTATAGAATCTGGGACTGTCCTGGCCAAACTGGGAAGGATGGTCACCCTAGATCTAAGACAAATTATCAGTGGGACAAGGACTGTAGAAGGGAGCCCTAAATTTGAATCGTCCTACTTTTAAGGTAACTAAATCATATGGCCAGAACCGATATCAAAGTTACAAATTATTCAGAATTTTTGTTTTCTACTATTCCTGTTTTGTGAGTTGTGGGAATAATAAAGAATATTTTCAGGAGCTCCAGAAATGGGTTAGGCACGATAGAGTCCTGTAGAACTATACTATTCCTACCCCAAAGGGCAGAACACAGAGAAGGTCAGGGGGAAGTTCAGCGTAGTTATGTGTCTTTGTCTTGTTAGTTCAATGGTTGGATAAATTTTTATTTTAGATAGGGCTGTTACTACCCCCTTACTTAAGGTTACCGTCAACTTCCTTTTAGGAAGGATTGTGCTTGCAGTTGCTAATACATTTACCAACTGTTTGAGCTGAAGTGTTTATGCTACATTTATGTGAACTTGGGAAATTTTGAGTTAAAACAGTTCAGTGTCTTCTGAGAGAAAGATTAGGAAAAAGAATAAGCAGTTAGTACCCAAAGTACTTCTCTCCCCACCCCCACTGTCTCCCAAACCCCCCCAGAAATTCATGCTCCTTTCATTGGGAAATTGTGGCACCTCCAAGCTTTAAAGCAAAGAATTTAAATTAAGTAAAGGAAGTTAAGAGAGTTTGCCTCCATTTGGCTATTGTGCAATCTCAATTTGCACATGCTTGGTATGGATACATTAGCATTTGACAGGTAAATTTGCTGGAGATTGTCTGCCAAAATTCACACCTAACAGTTTCAGGGATATAGGTTGTAGCCATGTTGGTCTAAAAAGCAGAGGCAGATAAAACTCTTGGGCTAGAGGGGGCATTCGTTATCAGACCTAAATAGTAGCAAAAAAAATTCTCTGCAAGTTTTTGGATCCAAACACCCTTTGTCAGGCAGAGGAGAATTCAAAGATTGTAATAGTTCTCCCAGGTAAAAAAGTAACTTCATTTTGCACTGGGGAGGTGGTGAAAGATGGTGGGGTGGGGTTCCCTTGGGTTTCAGAGTCCATTTGGGAAAAGGTTCCTCTGTAACTCTGCAGATTAGGCAGAAACAAGGCTCCAGCAGGTTTCTTCGCTGAAGGTGTCAGGTGTTAGGCAGGAAGTTCAATTTTACTTATTTCCTGTTTAGCAATGAAGTTTACATTTCCAAACCTAACAGTTAAAATTTGCCAACATTACAGGCAACTGAAAAGTCAGACTTTAGCATTAACAGTGATGTCAGCCCTGTCTTCATTAATAAAAACTGTGTTAATCGTCATAGTAGCTGCTTAATTTCAGGAGGAGAAAAGTAATTTAGTATAGGTCATGATGAGAATGTATGGTATCTTCATAGAGGTGCAAGTCTGCAAGAAGTGAAGTTTTCATGGTTTAGGGAACTTTTATTTTAGGATTGCTCCAGTCAGATACAATATAGAAGAAGGGAGGTAAAGCTGATTAAGGTTGGGATCATTAATGGAAAGTGAAAATAAAAAGAAACTGGATCCAAATTCCACTACAATTTTGCTAAGCATGTGTGGGAGTTAATGCATATTAGTATTTCTGTGATCAAAATGCATCTTAAGTGAATAGTGAAGTGTCACTAATCAGAATTTTGTAACTACTCAGGCACTACTGTTAGCACGTCACTTTTAAAAACCGTCTAAGAGTTCATCTAGGGTGGCTGCCCAGCCTTCTCACAGGTCTATAGGGCTCTTAGCCATAAAATTGTTTAATGGTTTTCAGCATTCTAAATTTCCTTTCTAAAAGATTTGCTATCAGACCTAGGTAAATAGAAAGAATGCAGTTTATTACCTTGCAAAGATCTTATGAATGAATAAAAATTAGATTTTGTTAAAGTCTATGGACATAAGACAGGAAAGGAATGCCCAACATAATTAAAAGGAATAATTTTTTACCAATAAAATGCAAGGTTTCCATTAATGACTATAAAAAAGGAAATGACAGTCCTCATAGTGAGTGAACTATAATAGGTTAGAACTGAAGTAAACTAAACTTTTCTTATTGGGACTCTGTTCTCTTACGTGTTTGGAAAGTTCTTAGCAGATGTTACTGCAATTGAAAGAACATAGTATCAATAACCAGTGCAGTTCTTTGTGCATATGCAGTCAGAGAGTAGGGATGACAGTAAAAAGAATTATTTTAAATTATAATTTTCAGTCTAGCTCGGGGGGGAGTAACATCTTTTTCATAAGGCTGTTCAAGGAGCAGTTCAGTGACTGAAGCTGCAAGCTGTGGTGATAATCCTTTTGGTCTATTTTTTGTATATAGCAATAGTACCAAGTAGTCTCAAATAATTGTTGGTAGATATACTCACCTACACAGAAGGTAAGGAAATATGTCAAAAGTTACTGTCATTTTCTTCTTTTTGCAGGCTTTCTCCCTTTCAAAGGAAGATGATATAACTAAGAATTTTCAGCTTGTATGGTAGTAAAGATTCTCAGGCTTTATTTTAGTGCTCAGTTAATTATATTGTTTTCTTCATCTTTGCTATTTTCCTTTTTTTTTTTTTAAGTCATAGCTACTAATAGTTAGGTGCTTTATGTGCATCTTCTTTCCCAAAGATTATTTCTGCCATGAAAGAATAGGCAGAAATAATTCTCTGGTGAACATTAGATTTCTTTCCCCCCCCATTTACAGGCATTGTTTCATGGAAAATTTATTGACACTGGTTTTTCTCTGCCATTCTACAAGCGCATGCTAAATAAGAAACTTACTATTAAGGATTTGGAATCTATTGATACTGAATTTTATAACTCCCTAATTTGGATAAGGTTTGTAGATTTTTCCCTTTCCCCCTAATATTTTTCCTTTAGTTTAGTAAAAATGTATATTTGTTTAATTTTTCTTTTTCTTATTTCTTCCCCCAGGGACAACAACATTGAAGAATGTAACTTAGAAATGTACTTCTGTGTTGACATGGAGCTTTTGGGGAAAGTTACTTCCCATGAGCTGAAATCAGGAGGTTCAAATATTTTGGTAACGGAGGAGAACAAAGAAGAATATATTGGGTAAGTTACAGGTATTGAAAAGTGCCAGCTATTTTATTTTCTTCTGTTGTCTTAGTCTTTTTTATATGGTACATTGAGTATTTCTTTACATATTTAATGAATCAGAAGCCATGATAATTACAGCTTTTCTCTTTTCTTCATTAGTCTGTGCTGGCAGCACATTCACATATATTTCATTGTGAAAATAACCAAAAATTAATTTTCCTTTTCATTCTCAGGAATTTATGACCTGAGAGTGAGAGGTTTTATATTACTTGTATCGATTACATTTATGCAATCATATTATGTAATTATACTAATATAATGTAATGTATAGAGTACTATATACAAATTTATAGTACTTAAAACTAAAGTTGGGGAGGGACACGCATTTTGTTCACTAGCAGCAAAGGAATGTGAAGTCCTGGATTCAATTCCAGTTTTGGTAGGGCAGTGTGATCCAAGTACACAGTTCTGATCCTGTGACCTAAGGCAGTGTCTCCCTCTCTGCTCTTGCTCACCCTTCTCTGTCTCCTTTCCCTTTCCTCTTCATCTTTTGTTTCTCCATAATTGTCAGATATTAATCGTTCCTTTGAATTGGGTCCGGTTCTTCCTTTGTTGTTGTTGTGCTACTCGTACTCCCTTACAATTCCCTTTTGCCATCCTTCCACTCAGCAAATTCTCACCCCTGTGCATTGCAGTGTGGTTGTTTTCTAATTTTCCTTTGCTGCCTGGGCACCAACAAAGGGAGAATTGGCAGCATGAGAGAGTGAGCTTCCCAGCTTTGTTCCTGTACTTGTTGACCCCCAGCAGTTGGGAGGAACGAATGACCACTGTGCTCCATGTTGTTGTTACATGGGCTGGTGCAGTGCAGCCCAGGGAGCACATGGGAATCCTGAAGAGGTGGATTGCAAACTAGTGTCAGTAAACCTGTCAGAGAATGTAACTGCCTCTACTGAACTATTTTAGTTTAAACTTCCCCAGAAATTGATTTGGCAACAGGCACTTTCAATAGAAAGTGGTACTGTCTGGGGAGGTTTTTAAGCAACTGTGAACTGGGTCTTATGGAAACCCTTGAGCAAGCTGAATTGGCCTGTAATACAGGAAAAAATATTTTAAAAGACAGACTTCTTTTAACAGTTGTAAGGTATGTCAGTTTTTGTTCTTAAACAGACTAATTTCCTTCCCAATGAGATTTTTCATCTTGAAGGAGGAAAGTACAACATACAACAGCACTGTTAAAGTAGAATACCAAGTGATTTTGGACAGGAGAAAAAAATTCAAACCAAGATATTTTCTTCCAGATTCTGTTTTGAAACATGAAATGTATTGTGCTCTCTCATGTCAATGTAAAGTATTAGTAATTTCAACCATAAGTTGTTGAATTACACTGTTGTAAGGGAGAGCAGAATCAGAAGCTGTAGATGCTGATGTTTAAACACAGGAAGGCTTCCTAACACAGTATTTTTTATTTTTTTTGCAGCCTGATGGCAGAGTGGCGCTTTTCTCGGGGAGTAAGAGACCAAACCAAAGCTTTCCTTGATGGTTTCAATGAAGTTGTTCCCCTACAGTGGCTACAGTATTTTGATGAAAAGGAGTTGGAGGTGAGGCTTTTATGTTAGCATATTGTTGTTAAGGAAGGATGTGATTAAAGGATAAGTAAGCATAAATCTCACAAGTGAAAAGTTTTCCTATCTTCTTTTTACTTGGCAACCCCAGGTATTCCTTTCCTCCCCCACCTTCAATCAGCTGTAAATTCTTCTCCAAGAGAGCTATAGTTAAAGATGGGAAGAAGGTAGGGTGCTTCCTTGGATCAGATTGTGATATACCAGTAAAAAAAAAATACCACCCCTAAATCCTCTTGCCTCAGTACTGCCCTCTGTATTGGCTCTCACTTCAGCTAATCCCCTCCACAACCTCTAGAACCAGACACCTGTTATCCAACATAGCAACCTCAGCATGGAGTTTATTGTAATCATCTAGCAGCCACCATCTAAACTAGTGTTGCTAGATAGGGCACTGGGGTTGGGGCTTGGGCTACCTGGATTTGATTTCTGATCCTGCATCTTGTCTACTGGGTGCCAGGTCTGGGCTAGTGACTGCCCCTCCCTATATGTTTACATTTTGTGGAATGGGGGTAAATGATGCTGATCTGTTTTGTGAAGAATTTTGGAATCTAAAGATGAAAAATGAGCTAAGTCTTAACCATAAAAGATTGTACCCATAAAGAATTTGAGGGTGGTTATAAAAGATTGTGAGAATGGAGTAACTACAAGAACCTAGTGTCTTCAGACAAGGAACTATCTTTTTACTTCTCATCTGTAAATATTATATAATAGGATCCTGATCCTGAAAAGCACCTATGGAACTTCTCCAGTACTTAATAACACATAATGTGAATAAACAAATGTTACATAGGTTTTGGAAATCTAGGTAGAGAAAGTGGAGAATGCTTCGGTTAAGTGATTTCTTATGCTCATATTTAGATAGTTTCATAGTTTCTAGGGTCGGAAGGGACCTGAGCAGATCATCTAGTCCGACCCCCTGCCATGGCAGGAACAGCACTGGGGTCAAATGACCCCAGTAAGGTGGTCATCCAACCTCCTCTTAAAAACCCCCAGGGTGGGAGCCTGC